AGTCACTTCGCTCTAACCATATTCCTCTCCCCCGAGTCCATAGAGGTGCATGGAAGGGAAAACGAAAAAGGAAACCAACTTTAGTGATGATTTAATGACTTTTTTAAAAAGTCTGTCTGCGGGTGGAAAAAAAAGAAACAGCTGGACAGAAGCCTGGATATACCTCCCAGGTCAGGCCACGCTTGCATCCAGTTGTGCCATGGGACAATTTCTATATGAATGCGAAAAACAGAGGGTTTGGGGAAGGAGTTAAAAAAAACCCAACAAAACTCCACAAACCACACATGGAAAAATGAAGCGATGGATTTCATTGTGGGCCAGTGACAAGAGCGAGCCTGAAATCAAAGACTTTCGTGGTCATTTTTCTATCAGAAAGTGATGCCGGGTGAATAACTTATTTACATGCCAATGTGCTGCACTGAAATGGCCCGGGATGGGAAAAAAGCAGGCCCTCTGTTATCCACAATGATAGCAGCTGATCCTGGGAGCTACCCCACGAGGAGGACGTTAACGAGGCCCTGGCTGCAGCGGGGAATGGCAATGAGTTTTTAATTGGTGACACATTATATTTATCAAACTGACAGCAGAGGGGGTGAGCAGGAACCTCCCGGTTGTGTGTTTTCCTGACACGACTTCCTTTGAGCTCATTCACGGGTGAAAAGAATTTAAAGGTTGAGTGGGGGGGGGAAGGGGATGGCGATAGAAACCATCCTAATAATCCCACGACGTCATCCTGAATGATAACACTGAATTATTCATTAGGGTCCTTAAAAGCGGGGCTAAATCACGGCTGAAACAAAGCCAAAGTGATGCCATTGTGCTGGCTCCTACCACTCCGGGCTTTAAAACCAGGCAAGAGGAGGAGGAAGGCGGGGGGAACCTTTTCAGAGTCATTTAACGACCCGGAATGGACTCTGTTTCATGGTATGGCGGAGTTATTAAGAAGTGTTTAATATTTGTAACCAGATCCTTTTGTTGAGGCAGGGGAGGCTGAGGAGGCCTGTGGAGCACTCCTTGGCCTCCAGAACCTGGGAGAATGGGAAGATTTCTTCAGGGCCAGGGTCTGGGCTGCTTTTCCCCCTGCCTTGCTCTTGCCTCCCTCTCTCTTTTAGACAGGAGACATTCCTTTGTTGCTTTTTTTTTTTCTTTCTTTCTTTAAATTTCAGGTTTCGGGCCAAATCAGCCAAATCCGTTCCAAAGGCTACCAAGAGAGCAGAGCTCAATCGTTCATGTCTGCGTGGTGCTACCACCGGGAAGTAGTGTCCCTCCCAGGCTCTTCAGCCTGGGGCTTCAGATGCTCCCAAATCCATGGCGGGCTTCCGACGTGCAAGCCCCAAGCCTTGGAGTTCAGTTGCCCCCTAGCCAAGGAGCAAGCTAGAGGGAAAGCCCGAGAGCGTCCTGTGCCACACAGATCCAGACCCTCAGCTGGGATAACTCAACAATCACAACCCACCATGTGCAGCTCAGGGCACAGGAAGGGCTCTCTGATAACAAACCAGGGGTCGGGGGCACACAGGGGGCACCTCGCAACAGCCAGCAAGGGTATGCGTTTCAGCACCACCCTCGGATGTAAGGAACCATGACTGCCACCTTCATGAGCCCTGCCCAGCGTACTTGCTAGCAATCACTATGGGGAAGGGAAGAGCTGTGGCAGAAGCCAGGCCATCCTTTTACTCCATCTGCACTGG